TTCGACCAGCCTGCCCACCCCAAGGAATGTTCTAAACAAGCGACCACCCAGCCCGAGGGCCTTAGTCACGGTGGGTTTTGGTATTCACACTTGCCCACCCCAAGGAATGTTCTAAACAGAAGGTCTTTGACCAGCCTGCCCACCCCAAGGAATGTTCTATACAAGCGACCACCCAGCCCGAGGGCCTTAGTCATGGTGGGTTTTGGTCTTCACGCTTGCCCATTCCAAGGAATGTTCCAAACAGGAGGTCTTCGACCAGCCTGTCCACCCCAAGGAATGTTCTAAACAAGCGAACACCCAGCCCGAGGGCCTTAGTCATGGTGGGTTTTGGTCTTCGACTTGCCCACCCCAAGGAATGTTCCAAACAGGAGGTCTTCGACCAGCCTGCCCACCCCAAGGAATTTTCTAAACAAGCGGCTTCTAAGTCAAACCATAACACACACACATCCTGTTATCCAGATTATACCAACATTCCAAGCATAAGAAAGTGTACAATAAAGCGAATAAAATCAGAAAAATCATTTAACTTCATTGTTTCTTGAGCAAACTTTGCAATTTACATCTTCATTCGAATTTCCTAGCTTTCTTTTAAAAGAAACGAAAATTTTCATCACCCTACTCACGTAGTAGATGGGCAATTACGCTACTCCTTCCTCCCGTAACAATACCGAGCTCACCGCCCTCTCTCCTATAGAAATGTATAACACCAACTCCTCGCCATGCACGGGTTTGGCCAATAGGGGAAGGTTGGCCAACACCCTTCACAACTCTTCGAAGGCCCCCTACGCCTCTTCCGTCCATTGGAATTTTGCACTCTTCTGCAATGTTTTAAACAATGGGCCACTCTTCTCCGCCACCTTCGATATGAAACGACTCTGCCCCGCAACTCGACCAGCTAAGATCTGCACTTCTTCAACATTCATCGGCAGCTTCATCTCCATTACAGCTCGAACTTTCTCAGGATTCACTTCAATACCTCTCTTGGTCACCAAGTAACCCAAGAACTTTCCCGACCTCACCCCGAAAGAGCACTTAACAGGATTCAATTTCATCTCATACCTTCGCAATGTTAGGAATGTTTCCCTCAAGTCTCGCACATGATCCAATTCCTCCTTGCTTTTCACCAGCATATCGTCCACATATACCTCCATGTTCCTTCCTAGTTGCTCCTTGAAAATTTTATCGACCAACCTTTGATATGTGGCACCCGCATTCTTTAGACCGAACGACATGACCACGTAACAATAGGTCCTTCCATTTGTTACAAAACTCACCCGCTTCCTGTCTTCCCTTGCCAAGGGAATTTGATGATATCCCTGGGAGGCATCCATCAGGCTCAGCAATTCGCACCTTGCCGTTGAGTCGACCAGCTGGTCGATTCTGGGCAGCGGGTATAGATCCTTTGGGTACGCTTTGTTTAGGTCACGAAAATCAATGCACATCCTCCATTTTCCCTCTGCCTTCGACACCATCACCGTATTTGACAACCATTCAGGGAACTGGATTTCCTTGATATGTCCCATTCCCAATAGCTTCTCGACTTCCTTCTCAATGATTTTGTCCATCTCTGCCCCATGGTGCCTTTTTTTTGTTTCACCGGCCTCACACTGAGGTAGATGTTCAGCCGATGTTCGATCACTTCCACACTTATCCCCGTCAACTCCTCCGCTGTGTAGGCAAAAATGTCAGCAAACTCCCTGACCAGATCGATAAGCCTCGACCGAATAGGCTCCTCCAAGTCTTTCCCGATTCTGAACTTCCTCTCCTCACATCCCTCGATCATCTGAACCTCCTCCACCACTCCCCCTGGCTGAATATCCATCTTCTTCTTACCCTTCTCCATTCTCTGCTTATCT